CATGTGTGCACACACAAACACACATTCAAACACACTGAAGTCCCCCTCTGAGCATAAGAGACTTGTCTGTCTTCTGCTGCTCTACAAGCCTTATAGTTTTCACAGCAGAAGCAAGATGAGGAGGACAGAGGGAGCTGAAGGACAAGCAGGATGAGTAGGATGGAAAAGCAAATTTCAAAAACAAACAGGTGATGAAAAAAGAGGAGGAAAGGTGTAGAGAGAAGAGCATATAGAATACAGAGCAAAAGGAATGGCGAAGCAGAGAAGAAGGAGCAGGGAAGGCTTGAATAGACAAGTGTGAATGCAGTTACAGAGGCACGTCTACTTTTTCGTGGGCTTTTTCAAGTGTATTCACATATCAGCTTAATTACTGTTAAAATGCATTATATTGGGAAAGGGAATCATTATGGCTATGCTTTGGCTGACATGGAGAGGGGGATTGGAGTGGATGGGTTGAGGCCGGGGGAAGGGAATATTGCTGTTCACTGATCATGTTAAACAGTCACCACCCGTTCCGCCCTTCCTCCATGCATCACTCGTCCCCTCCCCCTCAGCATCACATTCTGCTCTCCCCTTTCAGCTACACCCTGACATGCTCACACATCCCACTCAGGCACAGATGTGTTCCAACACAGAGCCACAGTGTGGCCAACACACATTCAGACACAGGCACATACGTGCACACGGGCTGTTGGTCAGCTGGACTCATCCCTGTGAGTGATTTGTAAAAAACTGAAGCTCATTCAAAAGAGAAGACGAAATGTGAGGGAGGTGTGGAAAGAGAACATGAAAAGGGTGTGGAGAAATAAAAAAAAATCCTGTGCTTCTTTTATGACAATCCCTGTCTATTATATTTGTGCATGCCTTTGGAGAGTCATAACTTACTGTTCTTCCATAGAAGGGTGCTGCAGTGGTTAGCACTTTTATTTCACAGCAAGAAGGATCTGGGTTTGAATCTGCTGGTCATCTGAAGAGGTTACATTGAAGAGGACGCGATGTCCTCTCACTTTTAGCCGTATTTAAACACACATGATTATCTTTTTATTCATGTTTTTTCAAAGACCGAAGAGGCACCTTTCACCTTTGACTTTTGAATCAAGTCTCAGTGTTGCTTAGATATCTGGCAAAATCATCTTCAGCGAGGTTTAGAAGGCAGCAATCATGGTCTGAATGCACTGCTGTGCCAAACACATTTGCTTTGCCAAGAGGCAAAGCAAATGTGTTCGCCAATTTCTCCTTTACCATATGCCTCATTTATATAGGCACAGGGTAGCAAAGCCAGAAATGACAGGTGGAAGAAAAAAGAGAAAGAAACGGGGAAAAAAAGGAAAGCGAAAGAGAATGAGTAAAATAAAAAGGGGGAACATATGAGAAAAGATATAAATAAAGGACGAGCACAAATAATTTCACCAAGTTTTTACTGTGTGTAAACATAAGTATATATGTATAAATTATTAATGTGGCATTCTTACACAAAAATCCAGTAGCATCTAGGGAGCATCACTACATTTACTTCACAAATGTGTCAATTTTTTAGATAGTCAGACACGTTGTAAACAAACAGTTGTTTACCTAAAACAAATTCCAGTATATTATATCTACAAACTCGTAAACACCAGTTAAGTAGGTTTTGTAGGCAAGATCATGGTTGATACTGGCAGCAGTTGTTCAGAGATACTTCTATTACTGTCTTCAGTTTGAAAACCTAAAAGGGAACGATAACAAAGGAAAAATGGGGAATCTCCCTGATAATTTACCAGCTAAAAATCAGTGTTGATGACTCAGCTGGAAGACCCGAGCTACAAAAATAAGATCCATTCTGTAAAGAGACAAAATTTTTCAACTGTTGGGCTAGTGGCCTGTCTATGCCCTTCAGCACTGTATGTATATTACATAAGAAACCTAATGGTAAGCGGCACATTGCTCAGACTAAGTTTACAATTTGCATTGCATCTGTAATCTACAGTATTCATTGCAAGGGAGCCTCGGGGCGTTCTCATTACAGGCTTCATGGTCCAAAGCTCTTTCCCAAGCCTCTACGCTCATCACTGGAGCATGCAAGCATTGCTGTTAATGTTAAATCTGAAACTAAAAAGTGCCAAATGTCTGCACACTCCTTTGGAAATTGATGACGCGAAAAGGAAAGACAAGCAAGCTCAGCAATGTCGTGAATTGCGTTACCATAAAGGTTATTAAACAAGACAAAAGTAGACATTAGAAGAGAGTATCTTATTCATAAATCTTGTTCTCTCTTTCCAATGTGTTGTATTGTATTACTCTTTTTTTTTCATTATTCTGTGCTTCATTTTGATCTGCTTGGAGATTTACATACAGAGAGTGAACTGGGTGAAGTCAATTCAGGTACAGTCAGGTTGAAACTTTTAGCAGTAAACCACCCACTCAAAAAATGAAATAGGCGATGCTAAAATGTCACTCTGTAATAGCCCCGTCGCCATAGTAACTGGAGACCCATTCATACTTTTAGACACACTGCTTCTGGAGCGCTGACCATTAGCACTAACAATCACCAGTCTTAAGCTTAGCACATTTCCTTCAACCGTCCATCTTTACGTTCCACTAGACGTGGGCATTCGTCTCAGCCTCTGACAGCGCCCTATGCAACCTTTGTATGTCTCTTCTTTGTTCTCTGCTTATTTCTGTATTTCAACACCCTCCTTTTGCTTGTGCCTTTCCCCCGAAATTACTGCTTCTGCTAATTTCTCCATTGAATTTACTTTGGTGCATGGATTTTTGATGTAGGGAGCTGGAAGGTTGATCCAGCTGCTTAAGACATTTGCATTCTCACATGCACCTCTGTGACGTAATTTTTAGAAAAGATCAATGCTGCAGTAGATGCATAAAAAAACCTCAAGTTTTATTTTTTTAATGAAAGAAGCTTGATGCTACAATCACACAGATGTGAGCAGTATATTGTTTCTAAAGCGGCATGTTCAGGAGGAAGAAAAAGCAGAGGAACTTTGTGTCAATGCAAAATATTCATGTGAGTCACAGTTTAATTTTTTTGTGACTGTGTATATTTTTGTGTGTATCTGGTGGATATGAGCCCCCATAGGGCATTTCCCCCCCCATTTGCCACAGCTGTGTGATGAATTCACCCGTGCTTCAGATGTGTAGTAACTAGCGATCCTCCCGAGAATTTTCCGAGTTACGTAACTTCTTGTAAATGTGGTTGTTTGACAGACTCAGAATGTGCAAAGTGTTGCACAGCAGGATCTATCCATCTCCGTGTCAGCTGCAGTGTATTTGCCTGTAAATGGCACTATTGTTCAAAGTGATGCTTAAAACAGGCCACACCACTGCAAGGCAGTGTATACCAGCTGAGCACAGAGTAGAGAGGGAGACAAAGGGAGCATGGTAAATGGAAGGAAAAGCTAAAGATTCAAAGAATGGGCAGAAGGAGCAGGTGGAGGAAGACAGAAATAGTGGAAAGCAAAAAAAAGGAAAGAGGAGTAATGGGGATATAAACTAATGAAGGAGAAGAGCTGACCTTAGAGAAAGCTTCCTGGTAAGCACAGAAAAAAAAAATGTATACACAGCCCAGTTTAGCCTATTTAAAGTTGAGCTACAACCCA